TATCTTCCCTGAAAGAACTTATGGTGTTATACAGAAAAAAAGAAGCGGGGACGTATTATTAATTTTTATAGAACATACATAAACCTGTGAACCTGGAACACTTTCAGTTCTGGTCAAAGTTTAAAGAGACATGGTTTTAAAATGCTTATTGTTATGAGTAAAGCACCTTAGATTAATATAACAAAGTACAGAAAATACATATTCACTTTATTTCCTTTGTGAATTTGATTAGTATGTATATAGTAAAGCAACTGGTCGACTGATGGTGCACAGACATTTCCCCACTCTTGCAGGAGGTAGTTTACTTGGCAAAACTGAAAATGAGCAATGAAGACTGGTTAGAGGGCAGCGGTGTACAGTGTGGCTCAAAGGACTGAGCAAGAACCTGAGTGCTTTTGACCTTCTACACGCAAAACAGAATCATACAAACCTCATCATCAAAGAGAACTAGACCATGCTACTTAAAAGCAGTTCTATTACAGCAAAGAGAAACGAGCAAATGAACAAATATTGGTGACCACATCCTTTTAAATGCATTTGTTTTTGAGCCCATGTACCTGCTAATGATGAGATTGCAAATTAATTCTTTTGAATAAGCATGTTGATAAATTTCATGAACATCTGCCATTAGGTACCTTTATGGCAAGGATCGTGTAAAGTGTCTTACTGTGTACTTGCCTGACATATTAGGTTTTTACCTTTCTGAAACATGCCTGGTATTTATACCTGATGACCAGGGATTCAAGTTTTCAGTTCCCTGGAAAAAAAGGGTGGATTTTCTCCTTTAATAGAGAAACCTATGGATTTTCTCTTTTAAAGGAGAAAATCATGGATTTTCCCCTTAAGAGGAGAAAAACGTGAGAAACCATGGGTTCCCTTTGCAGGCTGGCAGAGTTCCAGCCTGCAAGGGGTTGCTTAGGGCTGCCAGGAGTGGGACGCAGGGGGTGCAACATGCACGTATGCATGAATATACATGTGGCAGCCAGGCCGGTTGGTGGAGAGCAGCTCCCGCAGCTCCCTCCAGGTAAGTCTAAGGGGGCAGGGAGAAAGAAATGCAGGCCACACATTGGGTGTGGGTGGGAAGGGGCACAGGTGATGGAGGTTGGGGGGCACAGACCACACATTGGGAGTATGGGGTTGACACATGCCAGCCAAAATTTCTGTGCCCACAGTGGGGCATGAGGCTGCAGTGGTGCCAGACCACTTCTGGAGGAGCTGCCTCCATGGCCTAGTGATGGGCTCCGTTACAGGAGGGAGTGCTACACCATCATGGCTGCCAAGAGGAGGTGCCCCCTGCCTGCCCAACAGCAGTGGGGGCACAACTCCATGCTGCTGCTGCTGCTGCCACTGCTACTGCCAAGCCTCATCATGGCAGTGTGGAGCTCCCTCCAGCTCCAAGTCCTGCCCACTAGGCTGAGGACATGGCTCTTGCCCAGCGCTGGTCCGGCCCAGCTTCAGACCCACACTCCACTGTGGGAACAGAAATCTTAGGAAGCATGTGCCCCCTCGCACCTTCCCCACACACCCACTCCCTTCCTCACACACTAGGGGGTAGAGGCAGAGGGCAGTGGGTCAGGCGAAAGGGGCACTGGCACAGTTGTGGGGGGCTGTGGGTTGGGAGTGAGGGGCACCAGCAAGGCCTGAGTGGCTGTGGCTTAGGAGTGAGGGGCAATGGTGTGGGCAGGGGCAGGGTACCAGCATATTAGGGCTGCTCAGCTCCACAAAGCTGCAATGGGAACAGCGGCAGCTGGATCTGCATGCTGGTGAGTGAAGGGGGCAGGGGGAGCTCTTATTTTCCATGATAAAAAACCCAATATCAAACCCCAACATTTATAAGTATTTAGAATTTATTTTATTCTAGTGATTGAGAAACTGGTAGGCTTCCAAATTGCTTTAAAGTTGTAAATAGATCCATAAAACTTTGTATTCAACTGGTACTTATATATATTTAGTGGCGTTTCATTTTAATCATGGAAAAATGCAGATATTGGGGTTTTTTATCAGACAATTTGCAATTTTGAAACAGAGAAAACCAGGATCCCTGCTGATGACTAGTTTGAAGAGAATTGTGAGATGTTCTGTCGGCCCCGTGTTGGGTGATGACAGGATGGTGAGATGGACGTGCATCCAAAAGCACCAGCCTGTACACTTCGAGGGCTCTTGGTTCGTCAGCAAACAGAAAGTACGGGGAGAGTGTATGTGTAGCAGGAAATGGAGAATTCCCTTTCAGTTCTGCCCCACACAGGCAAATAATAAGTGTGGCTGGGAAGTTACTTGTATTGAAGACTGATGGTGATAAAGGCAGTGGAAATGTCTAGCTTGTGGAAACTTCCCTGGGCCGCCTCTTGCACTGGAAAGACAGAGTTCCTGTTCAGCATGGCTAGGAGCCCTTCAGGACTGCAGGAACTACACTGCTGAGGCCTGTCAGTGTTTTAAGGCACCTAGAAGGTTAAGGCAGCAGTTAAGCTGGGGTACTGAGGTTTGACAGGTGCCCCAGCTGGATATGTAGGTGTGACTTGGTTAGCTGGGTCTTGCTATGGATCTAATCCTTAACTTCAAGGTTTTAGGTGGCTACAGGGTTAGGCAGCATCTGAGTAGCAAATTTAGATGATCAGCTCAGTGTTGCCTCAGACTTAGATGCCTAAAATGGCAGTTGGGTATCTGAATTTACTGTAGTCTGAGGGCTATAGGTAGTACATTTTCAAAGATGTCCTCTAGAGTTCTTTCATTCTTAAACCTTGGAAAGTCATTGTAAACGTTGCAAAATTGGGCATAAAAGCTCAACTTTCTATTGATGATCTCTCCATGGCACATGTCTAATATTTGCTATGCCTTTTTCTTTTGCTGTGTGTAACCTTTAGTTTTACCTAGCAGGTTTTTTCAGTCTGTGTTAACAACAGAATACTATTCCACTTTTGTAAGCACTGGCAGCTGGATCCACAATGAATGTACTGGAGACTGTGCCTGTTAGCTGGATATTTGGGTCCACAAATGAAACTCATGCACATTAATCTCCTTTACATTATTTATATCTACTCGTTCTCTTGTAACAGTAGGTGGTTCGCTTGATGTTATCAAAAGTCAGCCCTTATCTCCACGTGTCTGTTCCAGATGCTATTTCCCTGGCAGTATGAGGACTTGCTTCAAACATCCTGCTTTCTTGTCAGCAGGGCTGATGCAGTATATTATAACAAGCATTCTCCATAACAACTGTTCACAGGCAGTGTTTTTAGCTTTACAAGCACAGCCTGAGAGATTCCCTGTCAACATAATCATTATTCATCCAAGGCTCTTCCAATAAATTGAGTCTAACTAGTCTTTCCCAAAGGTTAAAATGAAGTGGGCTGGAGTTTTTTTCTTCCTTCACTGTCACAGGGGAAGTAGCATGCCCTCCTTATTACCAAGTATCTTAGGAGTTAGACAAAAGGTCTATCCCACTAGCTATTGCACCATTCTTTAGCTAAAGCTTTTTTTTTTTCCGATGCAATTCTCAGTGTAGTGTCAGTAATGTCAGTAATGACCGATTAGCTACAATCAGTTTTTTCCCTCCTGGTTAGGATCCTGACTGTGTTAGTATATGCAACATCCCCTCAGGTGAGAGACTGCTCAGCCCAATCACACGGGCCCTGACTCCCAGGAGAAGCTTTAGTTGGCATGCTGCATGAACTCAGAGCCTCGGTGGCGTCAAGAACTCTCCTTGTATATTAAAAGAAAAGTAAGACCTGGCCAACTGTGTGGGAGAGATGATGATGCCTGATCCTGTACAGACAGAGTTGTTTCATTGTCATTGACTATTAAGTGGGTGGGTTAAGGAATGCTGTATCTGCTACAAAATATAAAGGTTTATTTTAAAAATTGCAAAATATTCTGCTGGGTAGAAGAAAAAGCACCATGGCTAGAAGAAGTTGTTTTAAAAATGGAAATAAATGAGATACAGCTATTAAGAAAGAAAACAGCAACGTTCACTGTTGAGCTAGCCTAGGTACTCTCGCTCTCTTAGAAAAAAACAACTCTTTTTCCCTTGTCCCCCTGTTTGTGACACTCAACATGTCTATCCTGGAATTTGAAATGCAGAACTTTTGGGATAGGTACCCTCTTTCATTTGCTGTTTTCACAGTGCTTGCTCTGTTTGGGATTTTTGCTCACTCTATGACAGAGTAATATGCTGGATCTGAAAAACATTTTATTATTATATGAAATAAAACTCACCTCATGTAATGCTGAGTCTGCACATGGCAATATTCCCCAAGATGTAACTAAAACAGAATTTAATTGCAATGCTACAGTGTTTAAAGTTTCAGCTTAGTAAACAAAACACAAATTTGCAGTTGTTTATTTACATGGTGGCATCCTGAAGCTATGATTTCTGGACACTGTTTTATGGTTGTACAGCCAGAATATTACAACAAATTAAAAACATTTTTCCAGACTTAGAAAGCCTTAAAAACTTTTTGAAGATAGTGGGAGACAACTGCTTCCACTAAATACATATTATATTTAAATAAGGTTTTGAAATGACCCCCTTTAGTTTACATTGATAATTGCTTGACAGATAATGCCGCTACAGAGGGAGATATTCTGAATATGGATTACTAACTAAATATATAATATTTTCCATCCAAGTAAAAAATGTGGACAACTTAAGTGTGAGGTACTATGAAAGAGAGAAAAGGGTTCTAGCAGACCTTTTTACCTCTGAAGGACAGGATTCTTTATGGGATTCTGTAAGGACACAGTTCACAAAAAATGCAAGATTATTTTCAAAATCTGTTCTGATCAACAAAAGAGGGGGAAAAAAAACTACACTGTGTTCTCGTCATGCATTGGTAATCAGAAGAACTGCAAACCAAACTGTGCTTAGCACAAGACCATGAGCTCCAAAACAGTCATACTTTTGTGATTAATGCAGATTTTTTGAAACTATTGTTTATTCACAGTGACAGTGTAGATGGTTTGATGAAAAGTTCAATGAAATGAAAAACAATCACTGAATTCTTTGCATATTTTATTTTTCTTTTTTGATTTCCAACTCACACACATCTGGCATATTTTACATCTTTGCAATAAAACATGGTTACAATAGCTTGAGGAATTTATATATCCAAAATATTTCACCATGATCTCAAGATGAAATGAACTTGTCTTCCAGATGTTCAATATTCTCCCAATTCTAAGCTACAAACTCAAGATATTGCTTACAGACTGGTGATGAATAACTTAATCATTACGCTGATTCCCCATGATTTCAGAATCTTATAAATACAAACGACAATGAAGAAGGAATTCAGTGCTAAAACTTACTAATACAAGGTGAATAACAAATAAGTAATCACATCAATAAATAATGATATGTTTCTGGTGCAAAGTGCCAATACAAAGAATCCATTATCTTTTTAAATAAATGACTGCAAGTGAGTGTAAATTCTGAGAAAATTACATTCCTGTTACATGCCTCATAGCCCTACCGACACAATATGTACATCTATGACAATACAGTCACCAAATATACAAAGAAGAAAGATGAAGTAAAGTGTATATACCCCTGGGTGTGTAATTTGATCAGCACAATGTGTGGAAAATTATTCTGATAGTTGTTATTACAGTATTGTAAAACATGAAGTGCCTTAGGTTGAGAATGTGGCTTCAGGTGAGATTTTCATAAGAACCTAAAAGAATAACCTCAGTTACCTTTGCAATGAAGCTAAGGTGGTTAAACAAATCAAGCAACAGAGAGGAAAAATAAGAGAGAAATTTAATTGCAACGCCCTTCCCCCAGTGGGCTCTACGCCAAATGTGATGAATCCAGAAGTATAGTACTCATGGTGTGCTGGGAGTCATTAAGCACTATAGAGCATCACAAGACTCTTGAGAATATAATAAAAATCAGAACCTCTCCTCCCTGCTCCCTTTCTGACTTGGATTTAAATTTAAAAGGGAAGAATTTAATAATTTCATTGTACAAAGTAGAAGAATGGTGAAGGATGGCTTCTTATCCAAATGCTTCATGAGCAACACTCCACTTAAGTCGGGGTGAGTTTAGATTTAAGAAGTGAAAACCATGTTTCTGTGAGAATGTCAGAATTACTGACTGCACCCAAATTCAACCCTTTAATACAAGCTGTGCCCTTAGACAGATCTCCAGTTTAATTTGTGTGAATGCACCTGTTCCATCAAGACATCAGGTTTAAAGTACATGCAAGTTGTAACTCCACAATAAAATTAAGAAACAGTTTTGTTCTTTTTACAAGGTTTTACTTTTACAAAAGTATCCCTTCAAAGTTAAGATGTGCATCTGATGTACAAAGTATCAAACGTATTTTTTTTCTCAGCTTGAAAAGAGGCTGGAAATGGGATGCATGTTAGGTTCATAGCCTAAACATCGGAACAACTGGACACAAGGTTCCTCAAAATTTTCAAAAGTCTCTTATGGCGCATCCTACTACCTTTTTCTCAATAAACAAAGATATATGAAATAATTACCAAAACAGCTCCTAATTCATATCATTTACATGGTACAAGCTTGCTTTTCAGCAGCTGGTGTTCAGTTGTGAAATAACACACAAAGTAAAATGGTTGCTGACTACAATGTACAGCTATTGCTGGGTGTAATGGAATGTACAACGGAGGTCAATGTAGACGTGTTTTTCCACCAGAGATTACACCTTTCATTGTAGCACTTGTGCTCTCAGCTTTACCTTGGCTTTCTGTTCTTCAGTCACCTTCAATATCTGTTCTGATGCTCATAATGCCACCGATTAAAATCTATATTAAAAGCTACAATGCTACCAGAAGCCATGCCAGTAATCAGAGTTCTGAAAAGGGAACAAAGATAGATTTTGGATACTTATTACATTTTTTGACAATGTTAGACATATTTAAATTTAAAAAGACCCCTGAACAATACGCTACATATTAAAAGTAGGTAAAAAATAAAGCCTGGAGCATGTCTTCAAATAAATAAATATTGCATTAACTAAATACATGTTCATAAACAGATTTAAACTGAAATAGATCACTAATGTTTTTCTTTATAAGAAAAAGAGTTGAATTTGCCCCTTCAGTTCTGGCATCTGAATTCCATTTAAACATCCTGCAACTGAACTTCCATCAGTAGTAGGCCGACAGTTCATTCTTTGTCCTTACTTAAATAAGAATAGGAGGTGTTTAAACTTAAGCACGTACTCAAGTGCTGCTGAATTTGGGCCTGAAATCTCACTATTAGAGGACAGAGAAATTCTTTTCCTATTTTCTTATTGTAAATGAGAATCCTCAGCACACTGCATAGCACTGTATGTGCAGAATGGCAGCATTCCAAGGATAAATAAGCCTCTTCCAGAAAGCTAGTTTTGATTTGGCAGAAATCTGCTTTCTAGTCATGAACTTGTGGATGAACACAGTGGGTGAGTTCTGAGTTACGAGTACTTTTGCTGCTTTATCAAACACTAGCTGTGCAGAGATGCTCATTTCTACCAGAAGAAAATTCTTCTGGTAGAAAAACAGTCTGGGATATGTTTCTCCAGCCCCATGGCTGAAAAGCTACAAAAGTAAGGTCTCTAGCCCAGGGACACTCAAGGGTACTCCCTGGACCACCCATGTCGTTAGGCAATCAATTAATTGACAACCTCTTTCTTATGTAGGAAGAGGGCAGGTTGTCAAGTAGCATTTGGCACTTGCTGGAAAGCAGCAGTTGCCACAGGATCAGGCACAAAATGATTCAAGATAGATAAATCAACAAGAAAATAATAGAGGACAGAGTTTTCTATCATGGGCTTCAAATTAACTACAAAAGGGGACTGCCACATTAATACTCCAGGAATATATTCAATTTATTTGATTTAACATTTACAAGGTAATTTTAATTCCGATACTGTCACTCACCTCTGATCGTGAGACAGGTCCATAGCTCTAATGCCAGCATCACAGCCAGGGTAAATATAGAGCTGCTTAAAGTCACAAGCCTGCCATACTTCCACCACTCCATTATCTCCTCCTGTCACCAGGTTCTGCCCATCACTGCTCAAGAGGATAGCCTGCAGGGGAGACAACCAGATTGTTTGATTCCTATTTGAGAAAACTGACAAATACCACTACAAGTCATTTAAGCAACAAATGATTTCCACATGCTTCTGCACATCTTGGAGGTGAAAAAAAACTGCTCTTAATGTAGGAACCCCAGATCTTCAATAAAATATCTGTGTGGCTTTACAAATGCAAAAATTAATTTTGCATGGGGCTGAAAAATGGTGTAAGTATGCTTTCCAAGACTGGAGTTCAGCATATCAGATTTCTCTGTCCTGCAATATTTGATACCATCACTAACAGCTAAAGCTGAAGAAGGATCTGCATTCCTAATGCTGCTTCAGGTGCTAGTGATGGAGCAGAACCCTGAAGCGTGAATTTGTAACTGGGGAAGTAAATAAACATTGCAACAATTTTGTTTTAAAGACGCATTTTTTTTCCCCACTGCATTTTAAATCTAAACATAAATTCCAGGAATCATCTGGCTTCACAAACAATTTTTTTTGCTTTATTCTAAAACAAGTCAAAGTCCACTTCTGAATGGAGATGCACACAAGAGGATCTGTGTTTGGATGGGATTTTTCCAGATGACAACAACTTTACAAGTGTAATTTCCCTTGAGCAACATTCCATTCAAGTAGGGGAAAAAGGAGTTCCATGTCAAAGGGTTGTTTACATTTAGATTTACCCTGGTTGAGTCATTGATCTCCATCTGAGCTAAGAGTTTGCCATTAATGCTGAATTACTGAAATTAAGCGAGGGTACAAGCAGTTTTCAGTTCCTTCCAAGGCTCTCAGCAAATCTCCAGTAATCGTGTGTACCAGACAAGGACCTTCTGTATATTAGAAAATGATAAAAGGTATTATACAGAAACTCATATCATAAACTATACACAGTTTGCATGCATCTAGTGTATAATATATATCATATGAGTGCTGTACAGACAGGAAGATACAGTCTGTTGCCTAAAGCGTTGACAGTGTACACCAGGAAAAGAAAGAAACAACATATAGGAGCTAAAGCAAAAGGATACAATATACCAGTGAAGTGGTACTTTGTATTTACTTCAACTCTTACATAGTTTCAGTTGTTAGGATTTTTGATCCTTTTCTACTAATTAACCTTTGTGTAAGTGATATCATTCTTCTTCTCTTCCCAACCATTCAGGAGCCCCTAGCTGCCCCGTACCCCTACCCCCAATCATGTGAACTCATTCTATCCTGCCCATTCACATCAAGCAGGCAAACAGATGGGGCCCTATCAGTGAAAAGTAGGAGAGGCTCCCCGGGGGCAGGTAATCACGTCACCACATGTTCCTCCTGCAGTCAGTAGCAGTTACTCTAGGTCTTCCCCCTCTCCACCATGAATGCATAGGCAGACTTTAATATTGAATCATTTCGGCAAGGGATATCATTAAAGTCAGCATTTGTGACTTCCTAGTGACCCTTCTACAATCTATGTGTTTAATTAATCACAATTAATTGCAAGATTTAAAAAAATAGTCACAATTAATCACGATTTTAAGCGCATAGTTAAACAACGGTCAGCACCTCCCCAGCCAACAGCCCGAGCATGTGTGCCCTGTGGCTCCTCCCCACCACCACCAAGAGCACACAGCCCCAGTGCTGACCCCAGCCCATCCTGCACCCACTCCAGACTTGCCTTGGCTGGAGTGGACTAGCCAGATCCTGTGCAAATAGCCCCAAACCTGGTCCACCCTAAGCCTGCTCCAGATTCACCTGCCAACACTGAGCAACGGGAGTGGGCAGGCAGAAGGTCCTGCTCAGTATAGAGGAAAAGCAGCCCCTCCCCCTCACCACTGCTGGGCCCTTCTTGCTACAGACGCCCAAAGCTCACGCCCAGGCTGCCCTGCGGCTCCTCTGCCACCACTGCCCCGCTGAATGGCCTGGAGGCAGCAGTGACAGCAGTGGAGTGGAGCTGCAGGGCAGCCCAGATGTGGGCTCTGGGTGGCTGCAGCATGAGGGGCTCAGCAGCAGTGAGGGGGAGGGGCTGTTTTTTCCCTGTCTCAAATTGTAGCTTCTGCCTGGCTGCTGCCACTGCTGTCGCTGCTCAGCATGGGCAGGTGAGTCTGGAGCAGGCGTGAGTCAGGCCAGGGTCTGGGCTGTGCGTGCTGGTTCTGGCTGGTCCAGAGCTGGTCCTCTCCACTGGTCAAAATGATGTGCACGATTAATGCAATTTAAGAAATGAACTTGTTAATTTGTTTTTGCATTAATCACATAAATTAACTGAGATTAAGTGAAAGCCCTAATAAAACACAATAAAACCAACACTGTATTTTTGAAATGCTGGGCCAATAAATTTCTATTCAAGCATTTCTGTCAAGTGGTATCATGAAATCTCTTTGAGAATCAAGGCAAAGCTTCCACACTAAGAAAAATGTTTTTTTCTTCTCTGACAAATGTAACGAGTCCCACCAAACCTAGATGTTTGGTTTACATGAATGCTTTATGTTCCTCGGCAGCACAAGAATCTTTTGCTTACACACTGCAGGCCACGATCCTGCAACTAGTTCCATACGGGAAACACATGCACCTCCTCAATCCCCACTAACTTCACCGATATTCAAATGACATTAGGGTCTGCCTATCTGGAACTGGGATATCAGTGCATTTGACTATGATCTCTTTGGGACATGGACCATGTTTATATGGAAATAATGAAGGAAATGTAAGAAAGTGGTGAGAAGATGTTGCAATTTCAGAATAATTAAAGCACTAGATTGTTCAAAAGAAAAGTGCAATATTGTAACATTTAAGCAGACTAACTGGTTCTGGGCATGATTATGGCATGAAAGAAAGATAAGAAAGAAAGAATCTGATTTATAGTGGCATTCTAAAGAAATGCAGAATGTCCACTTGAATAAGAATGTAAAAGCATTGATCTTACTTGAAGCAGTGGATTTTGCTTACAGGACTCATGAAATGCCTTCCACACTGACCATGCCCTAATACAGTATTTTCTACAGCTGTGCATGTGTTATCACAGTGAAACAGAGTGCTACAGGTAGCTGTGAGTTGTAAGGGAAAATCAGGAAGAGTGCAAGTTGGGTTGCATGAGGTCTCGTAGAGAGGTGAGCCCCTGCTGGGTTGAAATGAAAAGAAAGCATAGAAACTGGGGAGAAACTGGCAAGGAGGGAAATGGAAGAGGCTGATTGGGAATGGGTATCTGGGGAGAAAAAAGAAGGTAGAGCTTGAGTGTGTGCACAGTAAAATTAATAGAGTAAATAAGGGGAGAACAGGAGCCAAAAATGTAATAGTATATGTGTACAACAAACAGCATAGTTCCTTAGTCAACTAGAATATATTCTGCATTCACCATGGAGGTCTTTAGTTGGCCAGCTACAATTACTCCTAAGAAGAGGTGAATTATTAAAGCTATGCATATCTAATGAAGCAGGAGTTAGCATAACGCAGATCCCAGCTATTCTCATAGAATATAGTCTAAAATAATACAGTTGAATGGTAGCCACATTATAGTGTAATATGAAGTAATAGGAAGCTGGCTTACGGTCTGTGAATTAATACCACTGCAACACACAACTTCAGCTTACATTCACAGTAACTATAGGTTTCCTCATGAATTTATTGACTTGGCCTATTCTTCTATAGTACATCATTACTACAGTTAATGATCCATTAGCACTTCCTGCTACAAACTCCTGTATTCTGAATACAGTGAAAATACAGTGCACATCCTACTGAATAGTGGGCTATGAAAATAAATGTTGAACTCAAAGTTGGTATAAAAGGGATCGAGCCAAAAAACTGCAATGTGATTAGCAAGGGGCAGAGGAATGAACCTATGTGAAGCAGAAACCCTTTTCATGAAGCAAGGGAAGGATAAATGAATATGCAGGGAGAAGAAACAGGGTTTGATTGTATGGGGGAGGGATTTACGATCTCCAAGGGAGGAAATGGGGAAGAGAATGGGGTAGAGGGGCTAAAGAAAAGCAAAGGATAATGTGGAGAAAAAGTAGTAGGGAAAAAGGAGGCAAGAACAAAAAGAGAATGTAACACAGGAGAGAGTAAGAGTTGTACAGCAAAGAGGAGGAAATAGAAAAGAGCGAAAGAAAAATAGCAGCTGCTTTTCAAAGAAAAATGGAGATAATGAGAAGAATGGTAGGAAAAAAGGGTAGATGAAAGTGGGGGAAAAGGAGAAAACTGGAGTGAATGATAAAGGAAGGTCCAGAAAATATGCTTAAATAATTTAACTTCTAAATTATGAATTTATTTAATTTACTGTTGTAACTCTTTGGCTGGCATTTCTGGATGGAAAGGATGGGGTCACTGTTTTGAACACTTACAGGAGTGATTGTTGGGTCCTCTGGATTCTAAAGATAAATGACTGGAGAAATGGGCAAACAGATGCTTCAAAACTTTCTGGCAGAAGAGGGTGCATATCAAACCCACAGGCTTCTGCTTATTTGGAGAACTGCCCATTGGAAAAAAAATGTACACATTGGCATCTATGCCTGGACCTTGGAACAATCAAATAGGCTTTGCTTCTCTTGCCAAGTAGACTGGGACCAATCCAAAAATGTCTCATTTATATTTAAAACATGTCAGTTGAGTCAGGTGGTAGGGCATCCCTCCTCTCAGTTCCAGGTTTCAGTCAGCAGATTTCTTTCAAGAACACCACTGTGCACAGTTACAAGTTACTACATGAACTTCTGCCTACTAGTATTCAGAATCTGTGCACTGAAACAGAATTATGGGCTGATGACTGGAGAATAATGTTTTGTGATCTACTTAATTTGTGTCTAAGCCTCATATGTACAGATAGTATTCATGTTCACAGTAACTAGCTGTGGAGACCGCTAGAATTAAATCATGACTTGGTAGAGGAAACTGAGGCTAATTAATTTTAACCATGGCTTGAGGCAATAGTGAAAAATGCTTATTGAAGAAGAATTATAAAATGTTAAGATTTAAACTGTAAAATGACTTCTGACCTTTAGCACCACTGATAACAAGTCCCAGCTCTGCACAGACCGATACACAGACTACTTCATGGTCGTGACCAGTTAGAACAGCTCTAGGAGCGGGATAATCACCTGCAAAAAACCAACAATAGTGAGGATTTCAAAACAAACATAGTTTAGTAACAAAACTGGAGCTTTGCTGAAATGTGTTTAAAATCATTAAGCATCAAAAGAAAGTATAATCTGCTTAAATTTATCATTCTTGGGTTTCTGTGCAAAACTATATTCAGTTTAAAAAAGCTATCATAAAGAACAGTTTCAGGGATGACTTGATCCCATAAATATACTTTTATTATGCAATGATAGGGGAAAATGGGTTGCATCTGATGCACCTGATAATAGTCAGATACTCGGAATCTGCTGCGTTCCAGAACACATAGATTATGGCACTATTAGAAGGGACGGTAACACACTGTCACACAGTGTAACAAGTTTTAATTGTCTGTCTACTAATGTGAGTTGTCCAAGTTGGAGATTCTCAGGTATGAGAAGATATAGGATAAGGTTCATGCTACTGACACTTATGAGGACGAATCATATGACTACAAAGTCAAAATCAATGGCTGCAATTTTCTCCATAAGGATGGGACAGGAAAAAAGGTGGCGACTTTACATGAAACGCTCCATTATATAAGTACCAATGATTCAGAATTACAGGATCTTGAATGCCTATGGATTAAATTTCTAAGTTGTTAAATTTAAGATAGGATACTAATGGATATCCATTATGTCCACCTAAGCTCATTAGAGAACAAGAAAAACTGCTCCTTAAATATCTGCCTGTAATCTGTAGGAATAAAAACTGTTTCATTAAGGAGATATGACTTCATAATTTATTGGACATATAAATACAAAGAAAGAAGTTTTCATGAAAACTGTTTATCCTTCAAGGTCAACCCAATGGATGCTCAAAAAGTCATGATTTCATAGACCTGAATCAAGTTACAGGATCATAGAAATAGATCATAGGAAAGTAGTGACAGAAGGGACACGGTCATCTAGTCCAGCCTCCTGCTCAAGGAAGGATCATCTCTGACTAAACTATCCCAGCTAAAAAACACATTCTGGGTAAAATGAGATCTGAAAAATGTTAATAAAACATAAAGAATAGGAAAATGGATAGTTAGTGGCAATAAATATATGATTCAAATAAAAAATATAGGCAACTGATAAGGGAAGCTAACAATCAGTGACATACAATGACTAAAGAATTCAGACAATAAAGAAGTATTTTTAACATTCTAGGAATGAAAAACTTATACATAGGTGAGGATAGTAAAATTAAATGATATCAAAAATGGCAGAAAAGTTCAGTACAATTTCTGTACAAGAAAATGTATCTATCCCATATGATACTGATTTTGGAACAGAAACTACTGTATTTACCTGAATATAGGACAACCTTGAATTTAAGATAACATCCCAGTAATTAGATTCTATTCATAGAAAATTTATAAATTTGTTATAGTTTTCCTTGTATAGAAACTAATTATTGGAGGATCATTTTAAATTTGTCAATCTCACTACTGCAAGTGGTGTGGGGGCAGGTAATGGGGGACAGACAATGCAGGAGGCAGTTGAGGAGGTACGTGGTAGGGCAGCTAGAGGGGGAGGCATGCAGCTTTCCCCCTGCCCCCTGTCCCTTCCCACACTTATCCCGTTATGCCTGCCCCACTTCTGCAGGCCACAGCAGCTGCCTGCCCCCTGCCACCTCATACCTGTATGATGAGGGGCTTTTCCCCCCATTTTAAATAGGAGGGAAAAACCTTGTCTTTTAATTGACTAAATATGATGCATCACCTTTTGTAAAATACAGTGTTGCTATCTGCTAAAATTAAACATTTATGAATAAGGTCAGGACTTGTACTCAAGAGTCTTATAGAATTAGATAAGGAGTTCTCTTAGCCACAAATCTTAATTTTTTAACACATTTCAAAAATTGGGAAAATTCTAAGGGATTGGAGGACTGCCAATATAGCTCAAACTTTTAAAAGTTTAAAAGTCACTCTCAACAAAAAATCAGAAGCTAAAATATAATTAATGCCAGTCAGCATTATTTGAAAGAAAGGAAGTCTTGTCAAACAAACCTGTTATCTTTTTTGACAGGATTAGAGGCACAGTAGATAAAGGGAGTTGTGCTGATACAGAATACTTGTTTTTCTTTAAAGCATTTAATGTTAAGACATTTTGATTAAACAACGTTCATTATATGGAATCAAATATGCACACATTAAATGGGTTAAATACTGTCTGAAGAACAGATCTCACTATGAAGTGGGGAGACATCCAGGAGTGGTGCTGTTTCTTGTGGTGTCCCCCAGGGATCAGGTCTTGGCCCAGTGCTACTCAAAGTTTGTATTAACCATTTAGATGAGATTAAAACATTTTTGTAGCAAAATTTCTAGATACAAAGATTGATAGGGTAGTAAATAATAAGCAGCATAAAGGTACCACTATACAGTAATCTGAATTGCTTGATTAAATAATTATAACCCAACAAGCTGTATTTTAATATAGTTGAATACAAGAAAAGAACTCTGAGAACATGAATTCAGGGTATATACACAGGGCTGGAGGCACTGTTTTGGAAAGCAGTAACTGCCTCAACATGAGCTTTCAGTTCCAAATTTTGAAACAAAAATGGATAATACAGTCCTTTAAAATGTTTAGAAAGTAGGAGAAAAAAACTGATCTTGCCTCTGTACAGCATCAGTAAGACTGCTACTAAAATACCCAAATACCAATTTTGGTGTTTGCATTTCAAGAAGGATGCTGAGGGAATTCAAAGGACAGCCACAAAAGTGATCCAGGATCTGGAAAAATTAGCCTTACAATGTGAGGCTTAAGGAGGTCAATCTGTTCAAGTCTATTAAAGAAGAGGTTGAAAGGTGATTTGATTACTGAGTTAGTTACTTATAGATTTAAAAGTTTCATGCTATCAGATATATTTTCTATCTTTTACACAAAGGCATAGCAAAATGCAGTGGCTGAAGTTAAAGTTAGACAAGTGCAACCTTGAAATAAAACACAATTTCTTAGTAGTGAGAGTAATTAAACATTCTAATAGTCTATTGCCAGGGAAATTAGTGGCCTGTCCATTGCCTGTGGTCTTTAAAGCAAAATTAGATATCTTGCTTTAGGATGATATGATGGGAAAGAATCTCCTGAATCTTCAAGTCAAACCACATCTTATCTGAGGCAACCATGTTATATAATCTCTTTCATAATTTATCTAGCTAGTTAAATCTTTCACTCCCACTGTTCCTCTTGGAAGGCTGTTCCAGAAATTCACTGCTCTGATGGTAAGACACCATCTTATTTCCAGCTTAAATGTTTTCATGGCCAGTTTAGATCCATTTATTTTGGATCCAATAGCTCTTCTCCTTCTCTAGTGCATACTCCTCTCCCCAATATATATTTTACAGACAAATCATATCACCCTCAGCCTGTGTTTTGGAAGATTAAATGAACAAAGCTCCTTTAGCCTCCTTTCATATGATAAACTTTCCATTGATGAAGGCACATTAAAGAGAACCTGATGCTGTATTACATTGCAAAAGAAAGAAGTCATGAACCCCAGCAATTGTTCAAAAGCTAGCAAAATATTCTGTCACTGTCACATCAGCACTGATAGATGCAGCCAGAGGTCAAAGGCTATGGTACTGAGGGAGCTGCAGGTGAAACTACCCCACTATGAATTGAAACACCATCACTATATGCTCAAAGTAATTTTCCCAATGTGGCACCTCTGAACTGAATCACTATAGGAAAAAAAGGTAAAATGCATGTGTCTGAGGTCTTTCTCCAGCAACTCAGTGCTTTAGCCACGTTTAAAATAAAAGATTTTTGGTGCTCTGTCATAAAAATACAATGCATAATGCATCTGTAAAGCTCTTCTCAGCGAGATGTTCTGTTTTTATAGCTAAAAAAGAAATATGAACAATGTAATGATTACTTCTAAAGTCCTGGGGTTCCTCCCCACGCCCTCAATAACATGCCACTTGCAGGAATTAATTTGTACATTTTGGAAAAGCCATATTTAGACAGATGGTCAAATCCTATAGTTTTATTTGATCATTAACTTTGATGAAAGCAAGCACAGGCCTATAACTGACCTGTAAGTGGTATACAATAAATATGTCTATGATATAGCAGCTTCTTATTGCTGGTGCCTTAAGAGCTAATTCACACAAACTAAAAGCTTTGAAGGTGCTGTGCTTTTTCTGCTGGTGAAATAAAATAATAATCTTAACCCTTCACAATCCTATAAAAATATGCATGCATTCTAATGAAATTATCAGGCTACATCTAAAAATGTTGCAGATCTCTGCTTAGGGAAGTTTGCTGATCATAATGTTCATCACATAATGGGTGCATGCTTTAAGAAGAAAGTTTTTTTATAACATTAAGTTCAAGACAAATATCACAGTATCTTGTCTCTGGCAAACTGGTCTGTTAGCAAAAGCTGTTGCATACCCTTCATTGAAGATTTTGAAGAACATGTGTTGGGGAAGTCTAGGTATACTTGAGGCTACCTTGGTGCAAGCCAAAATAAAACAACAAGCAATGAATTCTGCCTCAGTGAATCCAAAATAGCAAGGGCAGGCAAAATATTGCAGGAGTTGGATAGCTGGAAGAAATCTAAGAGTAAAAATACCATGTGCTCCAGTACTAAGAACATGGGACACCTGGCTTCTCATCTTGGTTTTCCCGCTAAGTTACCTGGAGAAATTGAGAGAGTCATTTGACTTCTTTGTGATTTATTGATCCCACCTGTAAAAGTGTAGTGGTGCTTTGCTTTGAGATGTGTTGATAAAATTCTAGATGTCACTGCTACCTTACTTCAATGCACCTTTTCACACCTCTGAAATATCTCCACAGGAGAGATCCAAAAGAGTTCATTTACTATTGTGTATAGGACAAAGAAAACAATGGGTAGAGATAACACCAAATGCTTCATGTGAGCTTCCACTGGGTTGTTGCAGTGGGACTGTACAGGGAGGGGCTTATTTACAATGAAGCTCTGCCACTCAGTATCTGCTACAGCCATATTTTGGATGACTAGAAGCAAG